ATGATGTAACATTTGCAGATATTTTTACTGGTCTTCCTTTATAAATATGCATTTCTTTAAACATAATTTAAAAGCAGTGTAAGGGAAGTAACCAAAACGTTGTATTTGGATTACCTCCCTTACACTGTTTTAAATTATCTTTATTGTTCATTAACCATTACTTTATACATAATTTAAAAGCAGTGTAAGGGAGATAATTTCAATGATGTATTTGATTTATCTCCCTTACACTGCTTTAAATTATGTTTTGTACTAAAGTATTTGTCCATTAACCAGGACAACCTTGTTTTTCCCCCTTTTTTGCCCCTAATTCCTAAACGGTTTGAGCCATAACCCCCCAAAGCAAATCCTAACCATCCCTTTGTGGTATGGAAACTTGTAGTATAATTTCAGAGAGATCCATACACTGTTCCACAGTTATTGTCTGGAAACTAGAAAATGCTTATTTTTGGCCCCTTTTTGGCCCCTAATTCCTTAACTGTTGGTACCATAACCCCCAAAATCAATCCCAACCTTCCTTTTGTGGTATTTAACCTTATGGTAAAATTTCAAAAAGATCCATTCACTTAAACTAAAGTTAGAGTGCGAAAACCAATGTGTCTTCGGACGACGACGACGACGCCAACGTCTTTACCAATTGCGGTCGTATAAAAATTACTGATTTTTTTGGAAATTCAAAGGATTTTCTACCCCAGGAAAAGATTACTTACCTTTATTTGCTTAAACCTTTCAGAATTTTGGGTCAACAATGCTTTTCAACTTCAATCATACTTTATTTGGCCTTTTTAACTTTTTTTATTCAAGGGTCACTGATGAGTCTTTTGTAGACTAAATGTGGCGTACAACATTTTAATCCTGGTATCTATCATGAGTTTATTACCTATAATTCACTATTTCTTTGGCATGGTAAATTTTCAGTTTGAATTATAGCTATTGTTACAACTCCCTTCATCAAAGCTGGGTAGTAGCCTAAGACAATTTTTTACTATTCTGGATGGTTCTTTTTTTTTTGCTTTTATGCTGTTAATACTTTTTATGTATTTGGCTTCCCATAATTTTGGGTGTAGAGCATACCTTTGTAAATCTTATTTCAGAAACAAATGGAAGCAAACTGAAATTGTTTATAATACCTGTATTGCAAGTAAGGCCAAACATTAAGTCTGTCAACACATCCCATTAGTTTTTAAACAAATTACATTCTCTTTATTTTGAAGTTGACTACAATATTTCCTACTTATTGAGAAATGTACTTGTTAACATTAGTACTTTTGTTTATCCTTGAGTAAAGATAACAAATCTGAACAAGGAATAAGCTGTAAAATTGACAGCAAACTGGGTTTTCTGTATTTTGAAAGACACTTTTAGCCTTTTAGAACCTGCCTATTTTCCAGACTATCATGAACCAAATCTCCTGAACGACAAAAATAAAAAGCATCAATATCTTACTTGACCAACATTTTGTCATCAGTAACATTATATTCAAATTTTAAGAGCATTGGTTAAACGATTCATAAGTAATTGCACAGAAACGACATAAAGTGCTATTTCTTACTCTACCAAGAACCATAACTCCTGGATGGCAAAAGTGAAATCATCAATATTAAAATTGACCTCCATTTTGTCATTAGTAACAACATATTATAATTTGAAAACCATTGGTAGAAGGGTTCATAAGTTATTGAACAGAAACAAAATTTATAAGGTACCATTTTCCAGTAGATCAAGGACCATAACTCCTGAACGGTAAAAGTAAAAATTGTCAATTTTGATCTTGACCTTCATTTTCTCATCAGTAACATTATATTATAATTTGAAAACCATTGGTAGAAGGGTTCATAAGTTATTGAACAGAAACAACATAAATTTGCATTTTCCAATATATCAAGGACCATAACTCCTGAACAGTAAAAGTGAATATTGTTAATTTCGAACTAGACCTCCATTTTGTCATTTGTATCAACATATCAAAGTCTGAAAAGCATTGGTTGAACTGTCATAAGTTATTGCAGGGAAACTATTGGCAGCTGCCCACCCCTGGTACTTCACCAATTTAATTAATAACTGGTATTTTCCTTCGGAAAACCCAGTTAAATCACAGTGATGGAAATCACTAATGGAAAGATTGGAAGAGAAGTTTGAATAATTTCAAATTATATTTAGTGTATGGTATGGACAAAAAAGAACATTAATATAGCTCTATTGCTGACAATTGCATTAACTGCAGGTCATTATAAGAATAAGCACCCTTTCTAGTAAATAAAATGAGCTAAATGTGAATCAATGATTGCTGCTCCCTTAATTTGCACAACAATTTCGTTTAAATTGCAATTTCATATCTTAACCAAATAATCTTCCAAGTTACATGTTTCACCTTTTACTTTTTATCTTAAGAAACAAAAGAAATTACCAAATAAAGATTCTTCTAATAAAGTTTATCAATTATCCTTGTAGGACATGGGACCAAGAAATAGAAACCAAGATCGATATTGTCTCCAAAACTTAATCTAAAAAGGTTGCTTTTTGGGCATTTTGTAAGTTGAAACATATTTATACTATTTTTCTTCTCTAAGAATTGCTTATTGATTTCGAAAACAATTATTATGATTATATGACACTGAAGATAAGTTGTAGAGTGTATTCTAATTCAGTTTATAATTTAATATATTCCAGAAAAGGGCATTGAAAATGTACTTTTCAACATAAACAATTTTTTTTTATTGAAAAGGGGATTCATTCCTAATTGCAAAAATACACTTCCTGTATTCAAATGACTAATATTGTAAAAAGACATTTGATGGGGATTAAACAAAAAAAATATCAGATTGTCCAGGTTTCAGTTTGTTTTACACTTCCTGTATTCAAATGCGCATATATATGACTTATATTGTTAAAAGACATTTGATGGGGATTAAACCAAAATAAATATCAGATTGTTCAGGTTTCAGTTTTGAAAGTTACTAACTGTTTCAATTCAATCACTGATAAGTGTAACCTAAATTACATGTATTGCTTTATTACAGATGAGGATTGCAAAGATTTATCAAGTAAATATAGGCCTTACTTGAATACCTTTTTCATATCTAGACTTCATGTTTTGTCTTTTTTTTTGAAAAAAAAATATTGTTAATCCTTAATCATTTATCTTTCAGACATAATTTATACAACACTTTATGTAGTCAGGGGTTAAAAAATTTGGTAACAGCTCACTAGCCCAGGACTTATTGGTAGCAGGATTTTACTAGTCCTGTTGGCAGAACTGCTAGCCCGACAAAACAGTCCTGCTAATCTGAGACTTTATCAGCATGATCGGGAAAATAACAGCAATATTCACAAAACATCGTTTCTGGTTTAAATACCATCCCCAACACCCGACCTTGCCCATGGGAATCTCTCTGTCCACGATAAGATAAATGTTCTTTTCCTCTTTTCCCAGTCGTAATTGGCATATTTATGTATCTACCTCATTTCCATCTTCATCATGTTCATCAGCAGTTCTTTTTTCAAAACTGTCGATGTTCCTGGGGTGCCCCTACTAAAATATTTAGCAATACTTTGTTGCATGGTTTCGTGTTGCCTACCATGACAGGTCATATTGATGAATGCATCATAGTGATACCCCCAGTACTGTCAATTGAATGTCTCCGCATGAGCAATATACAATACAGTACTGAGAAATCTATATTGAAAGTGAATTGTAATTAATACACGATACCAGTCCACCCAGTTATTCGTTCTATTTTTAAAACATGTACAAAATCAGTTCAAATTCCTGGAATCCTGGATGAAGTAATATATTAAATTGAATATGATTGGCAAAGATAAAAATAGTGAGGAAAGGATATTCCACTTTCTATTTTGGTAATACTAAGAATTTTTTTTACTAGTCCGTCGGGCATATTGGATTACAAGTTTTGATTGCCCAAGGCGTAAATGTTCTGGTCCCGGGCGTCGGGCTAGTGGATTTTTAAACCCCTGGTAGTGTAGAACAAAACTAATAGGCAAGGAATAAATCTATCATTTCTATATAAATATACATTTGTGTATTGAGATGTATAATGAAGGAACTGTTTAATTATGTAAGACTGAGGATTATTAGTAATTTGATCAATATGATTGGCCTTTAAGGAGGTGGGACATTGTAATTTAGGCCCCACCTTGTCTCTGATTGTTTGGTGATCATGGCAGCTTTCAATCATACTGGTATTGTATCATTACTCTTACCTAATTAAAATGACAAAAAATAGCCTGCAAATTGACAAAACTTAAAGACTTACTTCAATGAACTGGTCCAAAGACATACCCCATATTTTTCACAGTTCATATATGTGCAAATGTACACAGACATGAGCATTATAAGGAACTGTATTTCAGTGTGTATGCATTTTGTAGATTTAGTGGCTAACCTGTGCTGCTTCTTGTTTGGGAGGCAGGTGCCTTCGGAATGACTTGGAACAATAGTTCCAATCTTTCCAAAAAGTATAAGTGTTATATTTCTTATACTTTCATATAGAAAACATGGGGAAGAAGTGCATGTGACAACATTGCTGAACTACAACAACATTTATTTTTGTACCAAAATCAACCAACCATTCTAAAAGTATAAAAGATCAATGTCTAAGTGTATGACATACACCGGAAAACATTGCTTCAGAAACTAGAATGGAACAAATTATCAAGGAAAATATGTTACAACACACAAAAGAAGTATTACAAAAAAAAGGCAACTTTAGGGGAGTTTTCTAGATTGCATAACCCAGTTGCATGTATCCTTAGTTTCTTAGACATTACAAATATCAAATTAAGGTCTATCTATAAGGATTTATAAAGCATAATTGCCGATTTGCACACCTTCTGTGTCTTTCACCTGTACCTGAGGCATCCCTGAAATCTCCCTACCATGTCATGTTTTCTCCGTATTTGGCTGTGAGGCATAAAATTTGAAATGTTAACAACGGAAAAGCTGATAAAACTTTTGTTTATATACGTAAATATTTACATACCATTCATTTCTCTCATTGCTCTGGCAAAATCTTGGGGATCCCTGAAACTGACAAATCCATAACCTTTTGTTTTATTTGTTCTTTTGTCTCGTAACACCCTAGCCTTGACAAATGTAGGATATTTACTGAACGCTCTAGCCAAACATTCATCTGTTACTTCATTTCCTAAATCTCCACAAAACATACGAAAATCATCTGAAACAAAAAAATCTTTAATCGTTACAACTGCAATGCAAACTGAAGATGACTGAATTATGAAATTCTATAACTCCTAAATGAGATTTTATTCAAGATAATGGTGCAGTTTTAGAATAAGCTACACAGAAAATGTGAAAGAAAGAGAACATAAATGTCCATATGCCACCATGCCCATCATGGGAAAAAACACAGAAATGGGTAAAAAGTGTCATTGAAGAGCAATCATTTCTATAAGGGGCTGGTCGTCCTGAACATGCATGAAATATTTGCCTCTGGATGTTAAGCAACCAACAATCAATCAATATAAGGGGTTGACCAACAGTTTCTGCAATGTGGATTGTTTTTTGTAGATCTTGTGCAGCTGATGATGAAATGCAGTTTGAAGTTTCTCTCAATCTATTACAGTTGTCAAGAGTAGTGCCAAAAATCATGAAAATGGGAAGAAACTGTCATTTAAGTGCAATTACTCAAATAAGAGGTTGACTGATGCTTTCTGCCATGTTGACTTATTTGTAAATGTTGTCTAGCAGATAATAGTTTTCAGGATCATAGCCAAAAATTCACAAAAATAGGTAGAATAGTTATTGAAGGACAATTACTCTTATAAGTGGTTGACTGATTTGTAGAAGAGAGGCAAAAGATACCAAAAGGACATTCAAACTCATAAGTCAAAAATAAACTGACAACGCCATGGCTTAAAAAGAAAAATACGTACAGACAAACAACAGTACACAAAAAAACATAGAAACCTAAAGACTGAGTAACATGAACCCCCAAAAAACTGGGGATGATCTCATGCGCTCCAGAACGGTAAGCCCATGTCTGGCTGATAATTTTTGTTGTGTAAAGTTCCCCTCTGTCTATTTTACATACAGTAAATGGTTAAAAATTGTAATTAAAGGGCAATAACTCCTAAAAGGACTTGACTGACATTTTTGATTGTAAGATGTTTTGTAGGTCTAAATGTGCTGACCTTTCTTGCTGTTTACAGTTTCTTTCTTTCTACTATGGTTTCCACCAAAATTGCAAAATTTGGTAAAAAGCATCATTAAAGGGGCACTAGCTACGAGATAAATAAAAAATATAAAATATGATTTTTTTGTTCAATCATTAATAAAAGTGAAATAGTGAAATAAACATTCGCTTTTAGCAGCCAGTATGGTTCAATTTTGTCAAAATAAGCTAAGAAACATGGTGATGACATCATTGAATCCGTATTCAAGTGAATTCCAAATAAACCCCTTAGCTAGAGATGGATAACGCATGAATCGTGCATGCTGAGTTATTTAAAGGAAAATAATGTCAACATTGAAAGTGAAACAAAGGTAAATCATTTGATTGACTGATTTAATCCACAAAAAAATCATTCTTATACAGGTAAAAACGAAGATTAAAATATATTTTTAATCTATAATATGAAATTAAATAGACCTAGAAAAATCCAATTGCACGAGTCCGGTTTCTATTTATATCCATACAGTTAACTCTTGTTGTCTCGAACTCGGTTGACTCGAAATTTCGGATGAGTCGAAGTTTTCTCGTGGTCCCGAACTTTGTTCCATATAAATATATGTATTTCGACTCCTGATGAGTCGAAATTTCGGTTGACTCGAACTAAATTTACGGTCCCAAGGTTAACAAAAGCATTCAAAATTCATTATTTATCTCAAACTAATACACATGTGTCAAAACATTGTTTAAAATGTTTTAAAAACAATTAACCGTAAACATACACTAATGAGCTTGGTTGTGTATAAAGTAGGGATTAAACTTCCGTTGGTGATCAACTCAAAACTACTCAATTGGCGTCTTTAATCTTTTTGTATTTCCTCTTGCAGAAAAAGATTGAAATAAAAGAAAATGAAAAGAAATCTTAATTTTCTAAAATCTCTTGTATACGAGAATGAACAATTTTGTCAACTTTAAATAACGCTAAGATCGATTGGAAATTACTCTCTCGGCTAAACACCACAGGAAAAAATTGTAACTGTACAAAGAGATAAATAAGAGAAGAATACATAAAATGTTATTATAATAATAAAAGACCATAACATACAGATACATCGATCTTAGACCAGAATATCGATCCCCTACCCATATTCATCCGGATTTATTTTAGCTTTACCAAGCTAAGTAAGAGTTGTGTCCCTTGGTCTGTCAAACTTCTGGTTTTCGTTTGAGTCGAACTACGGGTATCTCGAAATATTTCTCTGGTCCGGCTGACTTCGAGATAACGAGAGTCGACTGTATTTATGTTTATATTGCTTATATGGCCATTGGAGGTATTCGGAGGTCAACTCGATAGTTAATTAGATGGCGTCTAGACTAAAATACACACGAAAGGAAGCTACATATTATCTATAATATGCCCTGTAAATTGATTATTTTAGGCTTTTTATAATTTGGATAAATGTTTTACATTGTTATAAATCAAATATGAGAATTTGAGTCAAATCGGTGAACATGAATTTGACAACTAGTGCCCCTTTAAAGGGCAACAACTCCTATTAGGAGTCCACTGATAAAGTCAGCCATGCTGACTTATTTCTATTTCTTGTCTTGCTGATCATTTATGCTGTGCAAATTTCTCTCTAAACATTAAAGTTTTCAAGAACATAGCCAAAAATGCAACCATTTGGTGAAAATCGTCAATATTTCCTAAAAGAGATGTCTGGTAATTTTGGTAAAATAAGGCAGTAGGTAGATCTTGACATTTTGAATATTTTGTCAATCTATAACGGTTTTCAAGATCTAAGCATTTTATTATATATTTACCCTTAGTTCTATTTTTTGCATTGGCCATATTGGTTGGCAAGCGGACTCATACAACACATTTTAAAACTAGATTACTAAAGGATATGCGTGGCCAAGTTCGGTTACTTGATACCTGTTTTCAAAACTAGGATTTCCCTAAAAAGTCACTTTTTTACATACCTGGATCCCATTCCTCTAAACTTGGATCTTCCCATATCTGTCCTGCAGCTGTTCTTATAAACTTTTTCTTTTTGTCTTTCTTCTTTTTACCACTATCTTCCACTTCTGTTTCCATAGAAATAGCTTCTTCCGCCTGAAATTCTACAGGTAATGTTGGACCAGCTACAACTTTGGGCCCTGTTTCTGCAGGTGTAACTGTTGTGGTTGTTTCTGTAACTGTCGTCTCCAACAGTTTTGCTTTCTTGTCTTTTTTTTTCCTTTTTTCTGACTTTGGCTTATTTATAACTGGACCTGCTGAAATAACCATTTTAGGTTTTTCATCCTTAAGTGGTACTGTAGGTCCACTACTGATACTATTACCACTGCCTTCATTGGCCATCATATGCTGAACACCATCACTGAATCCATAGCCTGGTCCAATTGGACCTGGAGGGGCTGGTCCACCCATTGGTCCAGGTCCTCTATAAGGAGGCATGGGCCCAGGACCTGGTCCATGTGGTCCAGGGCCATAGGGTCCAGGTCCATGGGGTCCTGGGAAACCATGAGGTCCAGGTCCTCCTGGAGGTCCATAATATGGTCCTGGCCCAGGTGGTCCAAACCTGTGTGGCGGTAGCCTTGGTGGAGGAGGTCGGTGTCTGACTTGATGGGGAACAAATGCAGGTCTGATTGCTGGTGGAGGGGGAGGAGGAGGGGCTAATGGAGGCATGTCTGATTTATCCTTTGGTTTTGGTAGTAAGGCAGGAGGTGGTGGTGGGGGAGCTGCCAACACTGAAAAATAAATGTAAAGTACTGTTATTAATCATGTCCAGAAATATTAATATTTCAAAAAACTGTATTTCTGTGCTCTTCCTTAATGTATATGCACTTCTCTGCACTCTATTATTATTTTTTTTATCATTAATTCATTCAATAATTTCCTGTTGTAAAGTCTATTAACCTTTATTATATACATACATCATGATACATGTATATTTGATCTCTCACAGTAGCAGGATTGAATTATAAGTTTAACAAGTCCTTTTATCATTGTTACAAATACAAATCGCACCCCAATTAGCATAAATACACACTGACATCATGAAATCAGTTGTGTTAATATAAAATTAGTTGCAAAGGAAAACAGATTCTATTTATGGAAGCATGTGAAATATACTGCGGGACATAAAGTTCCAGGATAAATGAAGACTAGTTATTTTTCTGTCAAATATATGTTCTAATATATAAATGACAGTGATCCATATGTTTGGAGGTATGGCGGGATTGCCTGCATGAGAATGTGTATTAAGACTATACTGCTACATTATTTAGCTCAAAAAAGGAAATGGAATCTCTAGCATTAAAACAATTAGGTTTTTTGCTCTTAGCTGAAAAACAAACATATGAACCCTCCTTTTTTCTCTCTCTTTTTTAATGGATTGTATTCTGCTTCAATAGTCTTATGTAAAAATTGCAATAAAAAAAATCAATGATATATAGTTTTCTGTATGCATTTGTAGACACAAAAATGTAATCTACTGCTTTCTGTCATCATTTGTCATTCATTGCATAATTTCACAATTATCTTATGGCATTTATCCTTCAACTTTGTTACCGAAAAACAAAAACCTATAAATTAGAAAAACTTACAAAAAACTTGGGGAAAATACCTCATTTCTTTTGAGATTTCTGTTATTTCATTTTTTGGAAAACTATTGAATATTCAAGAGTACATATATCAAAATTTACTTTGTGTAAAAATAAAAGGAAAAATCAACTTAAGATCGCTTCTGTATCATATGCCCGTAAGAAAATATATGAGAAAAATGCTCAATTTGATACTTGATAGGAAAATGTCATATTCATTTAATCAATTGTAATAACTTCAGAAAAAATTAGTGACTTTTATATCGGGTAAGATACACCAAGTTATGTTAGAAATAAATATTGATGCACTAAAAAGTAGAATAATTTTTTTTTTCTTTATCAGTGGCAACTTTACACAATTCATAACTTGCATTGCAATGAAGGAAATCATATAAAATTACAGATTAACTATATTATTGTATATTTTAAATATTTAAAAAGAATTTTTGGGTAAAACCCAAATGATTTTATTACAGTGTTAAAAAATTAAGTAGATTAAAAAAAAGTACAAAGTGTCACAAATAAAAAAAAATCTGAAAAACATGTGCAAGTATATAATTTCCAAAGTATTTGATACCAGGAATTTATGGAATACAAAATATTTACAATGTACATAATTTGTAGTTCTGAAGAGTTTATACAATATCTATACACAAATCAATAAAGGAAGAACTATATTGTGTTAGAGTAAAGGGAACAAAATTCCACACAACATTAAGATTGGTCTATTTATTTGACAAAGACTGAGTAAACTATTTTATGCTACATATTTTTGGTGTGAAACTTAACGGAAATTTCCAGATACAAATTTGATGTTCAAAAGTCATTCCCTGAAATAGCCAGTTATTCTTCTCATTTTGTTTCAAAACAGAGGCTAAACCAAGCATTGGGTTTTCTGGAGGGTGGAAGAGAAGGAGAGCAACAGAAGGGAGATACAGTAAAAGTATACATACCTGAAGCTGGTAAGGATACTGATGGTGGTCCTGCAGGCTTACTCCCTGGTGGAGCTGTAGGTGGTCCACTGGGCTTTCTCAAGGGTGGAGGAGGAGGTTGGCCAACAGAAGGGGGATCTGCTGATATCCTGGCTTGAACATTGGTGAAAGTTCTTGATCCTATTATCATAGGATGTGGTTTCGAACCCTGACCTTTTGGAGTCAATATTTCTTGTTCAAATCTGTAAAAGACAAGTAATGTGTGTCAATTATTAGGCCCAATGAAACTCAAACAACATAATCACAATTACAGTTCATTGTCCTGTACGAAAAAAACAAAAGTTAAATGTCATATAAAACAATATTATTTATGTAAAATAAATTGAAGTATTTACTCAACCAATCATGAAGTTGTACAAGACATCACATAACAAAAGCCAAATTATTCAGTGCTTTTTTTTAAGTGATAAAATATGTGTAGTATAGATATCTTCACAAGTTTCAAAGAAACTAAATGATGTGTCAAAAGATAGATGCCCTACCTTAAAAATTTTGAAGAGCTACATGTACATTTAACATGTACAATGTACCACCAACATGACCAAGGTTTTGATCAATTATGTCCTGTATTTTCTCACATGTCTTTTTACAACTTTAAAACATTCATTATCTTGAAACATTTAACTTAATAATCTGGGCCAATTATGACCCTTAACTAACTTATTCCTTAGTACAGTCAGGGGTACTACTTGTACAAGTTATTTTTATTTACTTGAAGAAGTAAATATTAATATACTTATATAAGTAAAATTGTAAGATACTTATACAAGTGTCTTTTATTTACTTGTATAGGTAAATTATTTTAATGGCTTAGTTAAGTCCCTTAGACATTCAGATTTTTTTACTTATACAAGTAAAAAAGACATACTATCTTCTTTTCTTGAATTTCTCAGGACTTCTTTGCTCTAATAGAACTTTCAATTGTCTGTCCTTTGCAGATGTCTTTACTAATCACTGAAGTGTAATTTCATGGACAATGAAAATCTTTGTCTGTTATCTTCAAAACACTGCTCATTTACAAGCCTCCAAGGGGCAATTTTTGAAGGCGCAAATTACTTATGATCTTTGCGCAATTAGTTTCTCTGTTGAATTAATGAGATGAAACATTGAACTCTAATAAAAAATTATGAGCTAACCAGAGAAAAATTGTTAAAGGCATGTTTTTACTTCCCAAAACTTGAGAATTTTTGGGATCAGCATTCTCAATTTTTCACTAAGGTAAGGTGGGTGTTTTGAAAAAACCAGTTGCAACCAGGTGTTTTGTTTTTTTTAAACATTTCCAACCGGGTTTTTTTTTACTGTGGGTGGGGGTCACAAAAAGAAGGTCTGGATAAGTATTGTATTCACATTTAATGGAATTGAACAAAAATAAATAGATTTAGTCAAATAAACTGTCAAATATTCTTCTTTGATTTGATTTTTTTCAATAATTTTTCCCTTTTTTCTCTTCTTTCATTCACTATTTTATGCCTATTGATCCAAGTTTCTGTCCTGTTCCTCGCTTTAGTGCTGTATTTTTGGCACACAGAACAGTAATATCCTCCCTCTGTGATGATTAGCCATTTAAAGTCCTGTTCATACTAATCTTCGCTTGCGTGCCTTTTCCTTTGTTTTGATGCTTTTTTTCAATTTCAATACAACTATCCGTTTAGTTGACTTATTTGGCCAAGAATTTTCCTTATCACCATCGTCATCTGACTTTCTCTTCCCCGGATTAATAATAGAAGACATTGAAATTTGACGATCGGCCATTTTTGTTAATGAAAACAAATCAGTGAGACACAATTAGATTTAAAATATTTTTGGTGCGGAACCGAAAAAAAATCCGGAATTTAAAAAAAAGGCCAACCACCTCCTAAAATGGAAAGGTGGTTGGCACACCCGGCATAAATGCTGAATGGAAAACTCTGGGGATTGTAAAAAAAAATTACTTATACAAGTAAATTTTTTGAGAAAATTAAGGGGAGATTATTCAAACTTTATATGAATGTATGAAGAATATGAATGTAACAAATTTACTTATATAAGTATATTATTATTTACTTCTTCTTCTTCTTCCTTTATAGTACAGGCCTCCCATGGGAGTATTATCGTACTGTTTTATGTACATGTTTGATGTGAGAACAACAAATGTGTGGATAAGTGCGAATTATCAGTGAAAACGGTGCTTCTTTAAAATAACGATAAAAACAAGTTTGGACATCTATCGAAGCTGGACCACTTGCACACCCCTTTTGAATGATTCAAGGGTTGTACAGCTTACTAAGTGTTGTGGCAGTCCATTCCAGATACTGATGGTATCTGGGAAAAACGAGTACTAATATACTTGAGTACTGGCAAAAGGAACGAGGAATCGTTCTTTGTGTCCTCTTACTGTTGATGTTACAGGCTGTAGATTTGTAGTTGGTATGGCAATCAGTTCATGCACTACTCTATAAAACATGATGACCTTACATTGAGCTCTCCTTTCCTGTAGTGTCTTCCAGTTTAGTGCCTGTAGCATTGATGTTACGCTACTTGTTCTTCTATAATCATTAATTACAAATCGTGCGCATCGGCGTTGTATAGCTTCTAATTTGTTTATGTTGTCCTTAGTAGATGGATCCCAGATAATAAAATAAAAATAACTTGTACAAGTAGTACCCATGACTGTAGTATGCCATGACTTTAAGTTGCCATAAAATTTTGTAACACAATTTAAACCATTTGACACCATAATTAAAAAGTGATAGTTGCATGACACCAGAAGATTATTCAGAGACAGATCTATGGTCATTCAGAGCAAATTTAGCTAAATACCGAAACGTGTAAATACATCTAAGGATGTGTGTAGAGCACGTTGACTTGGTTATATCTATTGGAAGGTCGACTATCCATATATAATAGCTTCTAATATATATGGATGATCGACCTTCCCACTGATAGAAACAAGTGCCAGTAGGGAAGCAAGACGTTTCATCCATGTAGCCCGTTCGGCCTTGGTCGTTTCGACCTTGGTGTGTTCGGCCATTAACCCAATCGGCCATGTAATAAAATTCGTTTCGGCCTTATATTAATATTATATTAAAAGAGAGTTTGTTATATTTATTTTTTTGTTAATTTTATATCTTTTAAAAAGTATTTGTATAATACTTTAAGAATTATGTATGTTTTTTAAATAATTAGTACTATTATATTCAACATTGTAAGTTCTATTTGTAACCATTTGAAAGTTAATTAGAGTTGATTGCAGATAACACTTACTATTATTTTTCATAATTGCTGTGATAATTAGTCTACATTGTTTGCCTTTGAAGTTGTAATTTGGAATATTTCAAATAAAATTATGTTTTTAAAGAGTGTTAAAGGTACCAAGCTGAGAACAAGCTTATGCAAACTTTCGCTGTTTCAAAAAATGCATCATATACTCAATTTGAGTCATTCCTTTGATATTCCGCCAGACACCTATAAAAGCTGAAGCATGTCGATCAAATAGTTTTAATATACTTTGTGATGTCGTTTCCTTGTGTTCACTGTGAACAGGAGGTTCGTCCTCGACAACATAAAATTGAGAATGGAAATGGGGAATGTGTCAAAGAGACAACAACCCGACCATAGAACAGACAACAGCAGAAGGTCACCAACAGGTCTTCAATGCAGCGAGAAATTCCCGCACCCGGAGGCGTCCTTCAGCTGGCCCCTAAACAAATATATATACTAGTTCAGTGATAATGAACGCCATACTAAACTCCAAATTGTACACAAGAAACTAAAATTAAAAATAATACAAGACTGACAAAGGCTAGAGGCTCCTGACTTGGGACAGGCGCAAAAATGCGGCGGGGTTAAACATGTTTATGAGATCTCAACCCTCCCCCTATACCTCTAGCCAATGTAGAAAAGTAAACGCATAACAATACGCACATTAAAATTCAGTTCAAGAGAAGTCCGAGTCTGATGTCAGAAGATGTAACCAAAGAAAATAAACAAAATGACAATAATACATAAATAACAACAGACTACTAGCAGTTAACTGACATGCCAGCTCCAGACTTCAATTAAACTGATTGAAAGATTATGTCTTCATCATATGAATATCAGGCACAATCCTTCCCGTTAGGGGTTTAGTATCATACCATCATAACATATATGAGAAGAACATAACCCGTGTCATGCCAACAACTGGTTTTTAAATAAATGTGTTTAGTACCGATGCAAAGACCCTATAAGTGAATCAATATTAACGCCAAAATATGCAATCTTTAATGACCTGACAACAGTATCGTAACTATATCCCTTCTTAATAAGTCTATTTAAAGGTTTTGTTAGCTTCAGAGGTGAATACTGACATTTTTGTGCTTTATAAAGAATATTTCCATAAAAAATTGGATGTGAAATACCTGAACGTATAAGAAGTCTGCATGTTGAGCTATATTTAGGAATGATGTCCTTATACCGATGATAAAATTTAGTAAATGTTTTGACTAGTTTGTGATATCGAAAACCCTGGTGTAATAATTTTTCAGTAATACATAAATTTCTCTCGTTAAAATCTAAAACATTGTTACATACACGAGCGAATCGTACAAGTTGAGATATATAAACACCGTAAGATGGTGACAAGGGAACGTCACCATCTAAAAATGGATAATTAACGATAGGAAATGAAAAATCATCTCTTTTATCATATATTTTAGTATTAAGCTTTCCGTTAATGATATAGATATCAAGATTGAGGAAAGGGCAGTGGTCATTGTTAGTATTAGCTTTATTTAAAGTAAGTTCAACAGGATAAATTTCTTTAGTATACATACTGAAGTCGTCATTATTGAGAGCCAAAATATCATCCAAATATCTAAAAGTATTATTAAATTTGTGTATCAGATGTTGTTTCGATCGGTCTGTGCTGATTTTTGTCATAAATTGTAACTCATAGCAATACAAAAAAAGGTCTGCAATAAGTGGTGCACAGTAAGTCCCCATTGGAATTCCGATAACCTGACGATATACGGAATCTCCAAAGCGAACAAAAATGTTATCTAGTAAAAATTCAAGGGCATATATAGTATCAAAGCATGTCCAATTGACATAGTTTTTTTGTTTATTGCTACTAAAAAATGACCTAAAAGAGTTTGAACATACATATTCACATTCTGACTTTTTAAATGCCCATTTAATTAGGTGTGTGAATTTTTTCTTAATGAGAATGTGAGGCAATGTGGTATATAGGGTAGAAAAATCAAAACTTTGAACAGATTCAAAATCACCAATATATGCATGCAATTTATCAAGTACTTCCAACGAGTTCTTGACACTCCAAAAGTAATTTAAAATTCCACTATTTTCGAAGGCCTTATTTGAACAATTTATTATCAGGTTTTTGATTGTACCAAGTGTACTGGTAAGAAGTATAGACACTTTAGTAGTGGAACAATGGCTTGAAGACGAAATGAATCTATATTTGTAAGGTGTTTTGTGTAGCTTCGGAAGCCAATACATAGTTGGGACTTTCATTGTATTTGGCTTTGCAATGTGATACTTGTCATGGGTGGCAGCATCGTCTGTGCAACACAGGTTAGTAGTATATGATATATTTTTTTTTAATTTAACATCCAAAAGTTATAGATTTTATCATATTTTAAAAGACAAGCACTGTGCAATATCAGAATAAGTGCACATCCCCTAAAATTAGAGACTGATAGATATGTAAATGTCCCTGGGATAAAGTTGAAGACGAAGAACATTTTATATGTCAATGTCCCCTTTATAATCTCTTGAGAAAAGAGTTTTATGATAATATTTTGAGAAGTTGTAAAAATTTCCTAAATTTAAGCTCAAGTGCCAAATTTAATTATATATTATAATATTGACCGAAAAGACAGATTATGTACTTATTGATTGTAATACAGAATCCTTTGTAGACAAATTCAATTTTAATTAGAATGTAATAAATATGTTGAAATAAATTGCATAAATATTTCGTTGTGATTTTTTAATTTTAAACTTGTAATATTTGCATGGCAAGGTTATAGAAGTTGGTCAGCAGTGATGGTTATTCATATACAGTAAAGGTATTTTAATTTCTACTAATTTGGATAAATGACCAACACTATTTATGTTATTGCGCCACATTATCATAGGATATGAAAATTCATTAATTTTATTTTAAACGAGTGTTGTTATAACATACAGTTGATATATATAAAAAAAAAGGAAATGTGGTATGATTTCCATTGAGACATATATCCACCAAGTTCTTACTCTTATATACCTTGCGTTATTAATGTTAAATAATTGTGATACTGCATTTTAAAAATGATAGATGTATAGAATAATGGTTAAAAATGTAGTTGTTAAATGTGTATTTAAGTTCTGCTATGTGTATATACTGTAACTTTTTAACATTTCTTTTCTTATCCTGCAGGATGGCATAGATGCTTCAATGGTAAAGCTGGACGGGCCCACCTTCACTTCTATAGGATAGTTCCTGCCTTCCGTAAAGAAGCCAAGACAGTAAAGCTAACCCCCAGACTCATTAGTGAGCAGCAAGTGACCCGGTACCAACGAGAGACCTATCGCCAGATGCAGGGTAAACTGGTTGACGTATGGGACCGGCTAGACGCCAACACACTGAAGACCTCAGAGTTCCTCAAATAGATTGGGTATATGTACACACCACCTGTTCCTGAGCCAGCAGACATACCAGACAAAAAATATTGATATTTTCCTTACACTGCATTTTCACCTTCAATTACCTTTATTACAAAAGTCTTATCAAATAGGATAAAGAAATGGCTACTTCCCACTTAATTCTTTCTATGAAAAGAAAATAGTATAATGGACCGAAACGACCAAGGCCGAAACAACCAAGGCCGAACAGGTATATGGCCGAAACGACATACGGCCGAACGGGTTCATGGCCGAAACGTCTCGAAAGCGCCAGTAGTATAGAGACTGTGTACCCTTTGAATCTGTACTGTGTACAAAATGTATGGATGTTATGAAATTTTACGATTTGGGTATTACCGACTCATTTCCTCTTCCATTTCTTTCAATCTCTGGTCTGTTATCATTGCCATTTTGTCTTTTGTTCTGTCGAAAATCAACAAAATATATTTTCACAAATAAACGTTTTTTCGTTGGTTCGATGTCAATGTTTGTCTAAATATATAATATATATATATAGACCCATTAAAACTCTCTAATGACGAAGAATTTCATATTTGCCGAACTGACTAAATACCATAATAAGATATTTACACGACATATAGTTATAACGTCCATCTTTAAATAAAAAAAATAAAACAAAACAAAACACACAAATACTATGTGTTTGTGTGCTTCCAGCAATTTCTTCTTTCTAGAAGAAATTGAATCTCTTTACAATTTAATGAAGGGTTCGTATAAGATGTATCATCAAATAATTGAAATAATGTATAAAAAAGCAACAATAAAGGATTATAGAAAACACGCATATTTTGGCTAGCCAAGGCGCGGATACAGCCAATTTTAAAAGGGGTTCCAACACATGCAAGTCATATAAAAAGGGGGGTCAAACCATATGTCCCCATACAAAAACATTAGTTGTCAAACAAAAAGGGGGTTTCAATCCCCGGAACCCCCTGGATCCCCCACCGTAGCCTATTCTCATTTAAACTGGACCCCTGTTGTGTTCACTTTTCGCTACACTTCGGTGCGAAGCTATAGATGGAACGGCGGACCAGTTTAATTCTCAAGTAATTCCCTGGCTTTATTTTTAGGGGATTTTGAACGTTCCTGATGAAGGTGAATAAAGAAAAGCGCTTCGGACGCACCAACTTTATAAAGTGTTTATTTATTTATCGCCACTTTCAAGGACTTTTTGTAAAGGCACATTTTTTGCTATAATTTTATCACATGTTTTCCCGGCAGTGCAATGAAGTTGCAAATATGTAACAGCTAAACCATTTTTTAAGTTGTGATACGTAAATTCTGACCCGAAACCGGTGAATTATTTTTTTTCCTCCCGTCAAAGAGTATAAAAGACGGTGCATTCTAACAAATCATCTTTTAAAACATTATTAACTTTTGAACTAACCACGTGCTTCATTGACTTGTACGTGGCGAGGAATTAAGCGTTATGAAGTGAAAAGGAAAAAATACATAAGGCTTCTTGAATTTGGTTAATTTTGTTATTGCAATTGTGATTTTGGTTTTTTGGATCTGCCGTAGAGTATAAAAAAAGTATGTCTAAGTGTTTATCAGAATAACATGCCTTTTCAACATGTTCAAGAAAGAAGAAATTTCAGGTTTTTGCAAAACAATCAGCCTACGGTGTCGCGGGGTTTGCACAAAAAATCCCGACTCGATTAATCCCGGCTCCCATTATTTTCGAAAAGAACAGATCGAGTTGGTGCATTAATACAAGAAAACAATCATAACTCTTGATGGATTCACAGAATTGTGACGTTTCAACAGCAGCCTAGTGTAATGTAGTGGTTAGGTAATAACATCTAATTTATATTTTAAGGTAGTCTCAAAAAATTCACATATCTATCAGGCGCGTAGCAACCCGTACGCAAAAATGCAGTTGCGTACACATCGAAAATTTTACAAAAATAAAATTATGGTAAATCTATTAAGAATAAAACTAAAATAATAGATTAAATTAAAAACTATCTTACAAACATGTTAATAATCACTTTGTAGCTATATTCCGTTCCTGAAATTACGTTTTATTTACGGAACCAGCATCATGATTATGTTGCTGATGCAAACAATATAAATGGTCCTCGAGGTGTCAGAAAACAATTCTATGCCTCCTGACATCTTTTCTGAAGATTTCAAAATAACTGACGAAATAAAATATGTCGTTCTAAAGAGACTATGGACAACGATTCATTCCCATGATTTTCATGTGAGGTATGTATAGTCTTAATTACATACGTCGTCATAACAGATTTTTTTAAACAGTCCAGTCTGACTTAAGTTTAACGGGGTTGATAAAGGGTCATTTTCGTGCATAGTGCTTGCCGTTTTTTTTTTGTTTTGTTTTTTTTATTTTTATTTAAATTGACGATCATCGTATTTTGACTTTTTTTTTTATTTTTTACGTTCGGTTGTGCAAGACGGGTGCCTCGTTCAAAGTGTTTCCCCAACTTAATTATACGTGCTTCGAGATTAAAAGTGCTTATTTTCCATGCTTCGAGATTTAAAGTGCTTTTATTCCATGCTTAGTAAAATTAAAAGACTATCGTTTAGGAAGTTAATAAAAAGAAATCGGAAATAATTTGATGATTTTCCTTATAGATTTGATTCATATGTCGGGACTTAAAACGTATATATTATATACTTGCCAGTAAGAGGTTTCCAACCTATGATATACGTTCATTATAGTACTTTTTTATCAACGTTCATGGACGAAATTATTTCACGTTCACCGTGAAATTGTTGTTCCTTCTTTGTATTTAACGTTTTTTCCGTGCAAGTACCACCCTTTACCACCCCTTTTAACCTAAACTAACTAGCAACGAATATTCTTTTAATTTAATTTAATTAAGCTCAACCCACTACACATTAGAAAATCCAAATTCATAAGCCAACAGTACTTGTTTGTTTTTCTCTAATTAATATTTTGTTTTTTTTCAATTTTTTTTTTCAAAAGTTGACTCTGTTACTCATGAAAATAAGATTTCGGTGAGGTCATTTTAATTCCCAGGAAATTGCGAGAATGCAGGTGCAGGATTTTGCACCTTTTACCCAGAACTTGCCCCAAACCCCTGCCGTTTGACTTCCTCCTTCGGCATTGAGTACACATCATATTGGCCTAGCTACGCCCCTGCATAGTCTCTTTAGAACGACATATTTTATTTCGTCAGTTATTTTGAAATCTTCAGAAAAGATGTCAGGAGGCATAGAATTGTTTTCTGACACCTCGAGGACCATTTATATTGTTTGCATCAGCAACATAATCATGATGCTGGTTCCGTAAATAAAACGTAATTTCAGGAACGGAATATAGCTACAAAGTGATTATTAACATGTTTGTAAGATAGTTTTTAATTTAATCTATTATTTTAGTTTTATTCTTAGTAGATTTACCATAATTTTATTTTTGTAAAATTTTCGATGTGTACGCAACTGCATTTTTGCGTACGGGTTGCTACGCGCCTGCTAATGCTATACATGAAAAATTTTCAAAATTAAACATTTCAAATATGACGTAAATGTTGACATTGTTGCCAATTACTCTGACTGTCAACTGTGGAATTGATGTCAGACGTCATCCAATCAAAATTGTTGTCCCATGCCAAATTGGATTAGAATTATGTATGACATGCATACATATATCTGTTGTTTGAATCGATAATAGCAGGCTTTCCTAGTAGTTCAACCTTAAATTATGTCTTTCCACAGCAAACTGGCAATGGAATTGAAATAAGGTGAAAAATATTTCAGAGACCAAGTGCATGTTGAACAATGCAGAGGATTTCCTTTGGCATAAGCAGTTTACCAGTAATGTAATTGACCAAGTACCCAGGCAAAATATACCAAAGGACAGGGTGCAGTACAGAGGCAGATTAAGTGGGGGCCTGTGCCCCCCTCCTTTTGTGGGAAAAATTTTGTTGATTGTTTAGGAAATCACTGAAGCATGACTGGAGCAGTCAGTGGGCCCCCTTATGAAAATTTCTGGATCTGCCACTGCAGTTAGGGTAATATTTTCTGTATATTTTCGCTAAAATTCTTCTTTCTAGTTCCTTGAATAAAATCACACTGAAAGTATGTACTGTTAGAACCTTACACATACCTATGAGTTATTTTAAAACAAAACTTGCATGATTTTCTGATATTTTGATTTTTTATGCAAAATAAGAATGATTAGAGCATCTGCCTAATGGACTTCAAAGAACTTAATCAGGAATGGCAAGTCAGTATCATAAATTTTAGCTCTTCACCTTATTTGTTATCATAGCAATCGAAATAGATGATTAAGAATTGCCCAGTTGCAAGTTACCATAATGTAATGTCAACTAACCATCATTTACTTTAAACTCAACGTAACGTGTAATTGGCATATCATCACAATACGTGACTTATCATTGAAATTGCAAATCAGCATCAGTCGGGATTCTACTTCGTCAAAATTATCTCCCCATTACGCCAGTTAATTTTTACAATCGTAAAAATGGAAGCCATTATAGGGATGACGCGCTGCCAATTTAGCTCTTGAAAACCGATAAGTTTATCCGCATAGTACCATTACGATCCTTATATGCCAGTTGTATTTTAAAAGACAAATGTATCTACTAGCTAATGAGCATCAGTTAATGTACTTGTCTGCATTCAGTCAACTTAAAACTATTGTCTGATCGGTTGTCAGGTGGAATTTTCGAAAATTCATAAACATTTAAAAAAAATTCTAATTTAATATTTCGTGGAAGGGCAGACTAAAAATTTTCAGTGGTTGAAGACTATAAACCCTAGATATCACACACAAAAAATGAAGTTTTTTGGAAGATATGCATTTTTAAGATCCAACTTAAAAGTCTGTCGTCAAGTACTTTTAGTAAAAATTTGCTATTCGAACACACCTACTCTGTTTTTGTGATTCATTAGAAAGGTATTTCACTTGACCTATATATTTCATTTTTTTAGTACTGTGAATTTTCGATGTTATAAAGTCAACCTGAAGCTTTGATATATAAAAATGATAGAATCTGAAGCGAGATGATGTATCAAATACTTTTGCTTTATACGTTTTCAAGACAAAATATTCAACTCAAACACGCCCTCACATAAAAAGGTGCGCTCGATTTTCTCTTTTCGATGCAATTGTTACCCATTTTTTGGAATTTTTTCTTGCGTCACATAATGGAAGGGCAGAAACAAAAATTAAGGAACAAATAGATTGATATGTTCTCCGTCCGTGGTAATTTTTTTTGAAAAATCGGAGGTTATGCATTTTTTAGATCCAACTTAATAGACACCCATGTCGTCGACCTGATATCTAATTGTTCTGCTTAATTATGTAATAGATAAATTGAAAACTTATGCAAATTGTGTTTTTATGATAAAATATTTCGTAATTTAGCCAAAAACTGTCATTTTATTTGTTTCTATTAACTTTTAAAATTTGAGTTACTACAGTAAACATTACAGTAAGCATTTATCGCCTTCTCTAACAAAGAGCTTCGATTCTTTTGTTCTATTTCAACTGGGTTTCC